AAAAAAAAGAAAATGTAATTCTCTGCAATACAATATCCCTCGGCAAATTGTATATCTGAAAATCTGAAAAAATCAGAGTGCAAGTGACGGCCACAACGTTGTCTCTTCAATTATTTCTGCTTGCCGGTTTCCTTTATTCCCTAACAACCGAAGAAGAAACTCAATTTTAGATAAAACAATGAACAATATTTGAAAAATTAAAGTCAGAATTTTATTTTTCTCATCAGCTTCCATACTCATAATCTCATTCATGCATGCACGAGAAATCAATTTACACACCGTAACCATGCTATATTCTATAAGAATTATCAAAAATAAAACATTCATTTAAGAATTGTAATTACATTAAAACAGGCTGTGGACGTGTTGAAATTGTCATGACATGCAAATAGGATAACGATGACGTTTTGGGATCTCTTTCTTCTACTCGTTTGTGGTTCACCGGTTTGTATTCTTTATTGTTTGTAGTAACCATGTCTACTTTCATTTCTCGAAGGAAAAAGAAAAATCCCAAAAGAAGGACAAGAGCAAAGTACAAAAAAGAGAATAGTGTTAGGTACGTGGTCCATTCGCACTTGGCAGTTGCCACCTGCTGCTTCTGCAGTGTGCGAAGTATATATGTATTATTCGTTGACAAGCAGTCCAGTAAGTAACAAGTTCTGAACTAACTCAAAAATGGCATTTAGATATAAAAAGATCCCAAAGGAGGAGATGCCAAATTCTTCCCAAGAGTTATATGTCGCCATGCTGGATAACTTAATGCCCATGATGAACAATCAAGATGAAACCGGCCAAAAATTTTAAAAAAAAGAAAAGAAAAGAGCAGCTTGGCAAATAATGGAGGGTTAACGTGTAAGATTGAGACAAGGATTGGCTTGGGAAAGATAAAAAAGAAAAAGGAAACGTTTTCAATGTCTTGGCCTCACTTACCATTGGAGGAAGATGACAGTATGATTCTCCTTGTATTTTAGCAAACTTTAATATATTACCTTACTTTAATGCATTCTTTTTCATCTTTATTGTCCAGCTTTGTCCATCACTACGGTTTCACTATATTGGTTCTTTCACTCTGCAGTACTGGATCACTTCTTGCCACAAACCCCATTTCCATAAAACTTTTTCGTCCATATCTGAGTTGGTTTGCACACCTTTGTCAGATAAAGAAATTGAAAAGAGCAAGCTTGCAGACTTATAAAGTGAAAATGATCACCATGGCGCGTATCATTCAGTATATACAAACTATGTCCTTTGTCAACACCGTCGCTGTTGTTGGCCTCTCTTTCTTGTTCTTCTTGGTTTCCCTTAAAAGATTTGTGCTATCGAGTCGCAAGATGGGATCTACCAGCCTTCCGAGCGTCCCAGGTAACATATACCATCATGTTTCTCTTCTTCCTGTTGAAAATCTTTTCTGGGATTTTCTTCGTCTACTCAAATCTTTGTTATTATCGGAGTTATTATCAGATTGAAAAATGAAATGGGATGAGATTTCAGATATGTTATTATGGGTTTGGTGCAGACGTACCCGGGCTACCGATTGTAGGAAATTTGCTGCAGCTGAAAGAGAAGAAACCTCACAAGACATTCACAAAATGGGCAGAGATATATGGGCCAATCTTTTCTATCAGAACCGGGGCTTCTTCTGTTATTGTTATCAATTCTCCAGAGACAGCCAAAGAGGTTAGCGTTTAGCTTCGATTGTGTGTTTCATCTTGGTCTCCATTTCTTCCATAGCTTGCACAGGATCATCATTGCTGTCATTTCACTCCTGATAGCAGCCAATCATGACCCCACAGTCCCCAAATCACAATGCATGAGGGTTGTTTTTGTATTTTGAAAATGGTCTAAACTTGCTAGTTTTCTAGGCTTGAATTTGGGTCAGTGAGAATGTTGAAGGAAATGGGTTTGCAATTTTTATATCCATGTTTTCTTGACTCGATGGACCAAATGATTGGATGCCCGTATTTTGCTCAAAATTGGGCTTGGCCCTCCGAAACCTGATTCTGCTGACCTTTCCAAAAGATTTATGGTCGGGTTTGGGGATAGAACTTCAAGCCTGCCTTGCTCGTGCTCGACCTCAACTTTTCCTTTGAATCAAGACGGGCTCAGCTAAAACTGTTTGTTGTTCATATGACCCAGAAGCCTAACTAAACCCGGTTCTGGC